CTCATAATAAAGTAAAACGCCTTCGTATAGTAGTTTCAAAGAAGCGTAGACAGTCAATATAGTGTTTAGTGGTACGTCTGTTACTTAAATATCTACGAAAAATATAAAAAAAGGCCAATATTGCAAAAATATTCAAGATTAAAATAGGATTCCAATGAAAAAAGTAACCGCTTCAGCTTTAGCGCTTAAACGTACTGGTTTTCAATTATATTAGTGATTATAAATATAAAAAGGTGTAGCTACAAATATTTTTTATTCATTTCATTCGTTGATCTTGATTTTCAATACAACAAGGTATCTTTTGATACTAAAAAACATTGCTAAACTTTATATATAAAAAAAATATCAAAACCTATTCAAAAGTATAAAATTAAAACTATTTGAATTGAACAAACGTATATATTCTTGTATATTTTTTTGTTAAATATAATATGTATATATTTTACCTATGAGCCCTTTAAAATTATCTTTAAGACTAAAATAACATACTTTGAATTGTTCTACATTTAGCAACCATATATGTACCTATATAATTTAGTTTAAATAACTAAGCTTATAATAATAAATCGTGAAAACTACCTTCCATCATAAAATATAGATTATACTCGGGGGATTCCTAACCAATTTTAACAGAGTTCTTCTTTAATCAGCCTCACTCAAATACTAACAGTATTTTAATCAAATGTGTATTACATTGTATGTAAAAAGCCTGTCAGACAACTAAAGGTACTTCTTCATCTTCTTCTACCTGGCAATTTTCCCAGCTATAGCCAGGGTCTACCTTACATGTTGTGAATAGTTTTGGCTATTTGTTTTTACGACCGGCCGCCTGCCTGACATCAACCCTCTTTTGGGAATCAACATTAATCAGTGATGTCTAAATAGTCTTAGAAAATACATATGACTCGGAAAAATCACATTGGTACTTGCCCGGGCCAGGATCGAACCCGCGCCCTCGGCAACGAGAGGCGGGCCCTTTAACCACTAGGCCACCATTGACTTAACTAAAGGTACTTGTTACCTGCATTTACATCGACCTCTCTTAAATCGATATTTAAAATCACAATAAAGGTTTTTAAATAATCTTACATTATTCCAAGCACTTAAGTGAAGTATAAAAATGACTTTTAATTGACAAATCATAGAGTCTAAATTTACTTTAAAAATAAAAAGACAAAATTATTTGTTCGGTTTGACGGTACTTATATAATATATATCACTATATTTTTTCATATGATATGTCAAACTTCCCTTCAGTTTTTAAATAATTATTTCTATAATGAATTCAAACGAAACTATTACATTTAAACATAAGCAAGATCTAAAGTGTTTTAAGTTGCATATTAAATCTAATATTGCATTTTTTTAAAGAAACTTCGATTATTGACACTTACTAATGACACATGACAGATGACAGAAAAGAGGTTAGGTTTTTATTGGTTAAAATAAATTGTTAACATCAAATTGTTTAACTTTTTCGGTAAATTACTTATGTAATAGTTTGTTAATGGTATTACTACAACTGAATGGCCAGCGTTCATTATAGTTTTTGTTTTGAAATCATCGGATTGCATGTCAGACATGCATTGGTCCCGTTTTTATCTTTCCTTAATTGTTGTTTTTATATAAAGATATGGGATTATATAAGCAATGTATCACTTAATCATTATTTACTAAAATATTTATTTCATTTCATATATAAACAACCCTTGTACACTAGATTGTAAGTTATAAAATTGTGATTTCACTCCAAACTAGCAGTGGACCAGCGATAGTAAACTCTGTTGAAAAGTCGTACAAAATTGGGTATACAATTTTCCTTGCTCTTGAAATACATGTGGCTCGAGGTTATTTTGTTCTCTATTTTACTAGTATTGTGGTTAGTAATGTCTTTTACTTCGTTTGTTATATTATTTACAGAAGTATATCTGCCTAAATATACTTTTAAAAAATAATATATTTGATGCGTTTTATTTGTAAGAATAAAAAATATACCGTGGTGTTACAATTTGATATTGTTTTTAAACTTTGATCATGTTATAGACAAATTAAACCCAAAGAAATTTAAAACCTATGTGGTTCAGAATTCAAGCACATGAAAACATCTTTCTGAGTACAGTTTTACTTTTGATACTTTTTATGTATACACAAATATATAAATTACAGTCAACTAAATATGGAAGTGGTGGTCTAATGGTTAAAGGGTCCGCCTCTCGATGCCGAGGGCGCGGGTTCAAACCTGGCAAGTACCAATGTGATTTTTCGGAGTCATATGTACTTTCTGAGAGTATTTAGACACCACTGACATATGCGGTGAAGGAAAACATCGTGAGGAAACCTGGCCTTTACATATAGTTTCACAATTATAAGTTTGAAATCACCAACCCGTCTTGAGCAAGCGTGATGATTAATGCTCAAACCTTCTCCATGTGAGAAAGAGGCCTTTGCTCAGCAGTGGGCGCTGATAGGCTGATGACGATGACGAAATATGGAAATTGATATGTATGTGTTATTATATATATAATTATTATTATCGTGTTTAGAACTTCGTAAGTTAGGTTATGTGCGTAAAACAATAAGTTGTTAAGAGATAGTTTGGCTAGTTATTTCAGAGTTGTAAGAGACTCTTATGTGGTTGGATACGTCCAATTAATAAGACATCTAAAGGTAAACTAAATGTAGTGTATGAATTGAACATACGGTTCGCTCTAAGCCATACACAGTCACTATTATTGTAAACGAAAAGAATGTTATTTCTAATGCTGCTATATCTCTTCTAGCAAATCTTAACCACTTTCTATATACTAATTTTTTAACACATTAATATATTAGTTTTCGTAATTGTTGTACATAGTAAAACCGCACAGAATTTGTAAAACTTTGTATTCATTTTAATAGTTTGTGTTCAAATAAAAATAAGTACATAATAAACTGAACGTAATAGGTACACCATAGTCACTAAACCGCATGTATTACTATACTACTAGACAAATGTTTCGTGGTTGGTAACGTCATGTTAGTCATGTAACAGTTATTAGGGTGTTTAAAAGAAAAATTCTTAATTAATTTTGTATATTTTCTCATCGAAAGCACTAAATATTTATAGTAAATAAGAGATAATCTTCAATATAAAAGCAATTCCGAAAAATTGTTAACATTACTACTCTATTGCTTGGATTGAAATCCGAATTGATTTAAAAATACGTAGAAATAAATTTCGGAATCATATTGATCGCTCTGTGCCAGAAATAACTGTTTTAGATAGCGGAAATTGCTCCGTCAGAATTCACTAACGAGCTTTACAAATAACAGACAAATAGATTGAACGAATCTTTTTAGTAATAGCACCGAACTAGAATTATTGAATATTTAAAAAATCATACATTAATATTGTTTTTCGTTTTAATTTTAACACAATAAATAGATACGCATTGATAAAACAAATCTATTAAAGACATCAACATGTATATAGCTCTGTCATCTACACATGTTGCTGAAAAATTATGATGCATAAAAAATGATATCTGTAACAGAAGTTCACCAATGATAAATGTTTTATTGGTGTGTTGTTTTAATAAACTAATCTACTAAATAACTTTGTTATTTCAATTGTGTTAAAATATTTAGTCCAAAAAATAATCATAGCCTAGGACACATTTTGCAACTATCATATATTACAAGCACACCTGACACCAGAATCCTTTCAGAAATGAGATAATTTGTGGTAATGACGACTATGAGAACCGTGATAAACGCGACACTTCTCTAATTAAAAAGAAATGAATTCCCAAAGATTCAATTCTCAATCTAAACCATACTACGAGTACAATTATTGTGTTACAGATTTTAATTATTGAAGTGAAACTTCTTACGCGATCAACCCTTTCGGGGAAGGGGGGTGGTATAAAAAGAGACAGAGTGAGAGGAAATGCGTGGCGCTCGCTTTACAGGCTAGCTTGTGATTTAGTTACGAGTAGCTTCCAAAGTCCAACGCAAGAGAGAGAGACAGAAAGAAAGAAGAATACACAAATATAGAAAGTAAGGCTGGCTCGACCGGGTAAGTACCATCCTCTCACAGAAGATCAGCGGGAAGTAATCTTTAATGGCTGCGTAGTCAGATGAGTAAAAAAACCTGTTTCCCTTTCCCTTTTCCTACCCTTTACCGCCAAATTCCTTGTCCCTTCCTTTCCCACCTTTTCCTCCCCTCTTCCCCAATCAGGGGTGGTAATACATTGCAAATCTGAGTTGCGGATGTCCATGCGCGGTGGTACTACCTTGGTCAGGTAGGCCGTCTTCTCGGTTGGCCCCTTTAGGATAAAAAAAATAGGAGATAGAAAAAGAGTGAGTCGGTTGATTCTAAACACATGGTATACTTGCTATGCAGCGAAGTAAACAGTGTTAGCGTCTTTAAATTAACTGTAATACATACACGTTGTTCAATATTAATTAATTTATAATGTTCATAATTTTTTTAGTTCCATTTGATACACATACAATCTATTTTCATTTTCACATTACCATTTCTTATTTCTTCCACGCTCGGAGGGACTCCATTCACCATTTTTTTAAAATATAAGCTTCATAATAGACCGAGGTTTATTAAAATTATATCAACTGTTCTTCTATCTTTACATTACTACATACATATACTTTAAAATCTTATAATTTATTTGCCAGTAGTAACGAGAATAGTTATTCTACGGTATTGAATTCAACCATAACATCATTCCCTGTTATAAAATGAAACATAAAAACTCCAATTCCTTATATAAAATATTAAAATGGAAAAAGATAAAATTATTATTACTTATAGTTAACAAGTTCGCTGTTTGTTTGCAGCTCTTGTTCAATATTTATTTGTGGAAAAAAGTAATAAAAATAAAACTAAACTCTCTCGTACAATATATTTATTTACAAAATAAAACCACATAATTGAGTGTAACAAAAATAACGCTTTTATAAAAATTAATAACATCTTTATAAGACTGTGATAGAAATTCCTACTTAGCATTTTTAAATTCGTAGTGTTTATAAAGCTGTCTTATTTTCTGTTCAACATCTCTAGCTTTTCCTACATTTCGTTGTTTAGGAAACAAGTATAGGATCACAAAAATGACGCAGATCATTGCAGACACGAATAACATAGCGAAATAATATCTATACATGAGAAGCAATAAATAATCTATACAAAACATAAACGGCGTTTGTGGTTCGTGATTATCCTTCCCAAAAGGAGTTCTCATATCAGGGGCATAACACGTCAACCAAGGATTTTTATTGTAGTTAACATAATCAAATAATTCTGAAGGTTTTTTGTCGTACTTGGTCATAACATAACGAGTTGCGGTTCGAGTTACGAGAGCCAGGTTAATAACGTTGGTTACCACAGAAAAAAATGAGATGAAGTAGAAAACTTTGATCCACCCAATTGCTGGTGCTTTTATAAAAAGTGGCCGTCTCGACATCTGTAGGAACTTTCGAGCCTGGATTCTTATGTCGAAAATATTAATTACATAAATAACTAAGGGAGCCAATGGGAATGCTATGACAAACCAAAGCACCATTGCGAACTGATTTGCTAATTCCATATACTTCCTGTCCATTTCTTCATAAGAGATTGATCTTAGCATGTACTCTTCTTCCCAGAACGGAATCTCAGATCTGGATTGCATTCTTTTAGTACAAATAGTTAAAAAGTCAAAAATATATTGGATTATTTTATAAATGACTTGGGTAACTAAAATTAGAGTGGCAAGTAAAGTTCCGATTTCAATTATACATGAATATGGAAAGCAGAAAGAGAAAATATTATACACATCGTGTACTTCATAGCCATATAGATATTTTAACATGTCGTTTATATTACTCGTGAGGTATACGTATGTAAACTCTCTATATCTATAAAACATATAATGGCCATAGACCCAGGCAAAATAAGCAAGAAATAAGTAGTGCATTACTAATCTAAATCCAATTTTTTTTATAATCAACGACTCCCAGTGCTTTTCATAGGTGTTGTAATTTTCATATTTGACTACGAAATTAACGAAGTAATTATATACCTTCTCACAAACAGTGGCAAATGTAATATAAAATGCATAAAAAATTGACAACATTATATAATCTCTGTACTTTTCTTTCTCAGTATATATCTTTTTTTTAATTAAAAATGTACAAAATTTATCATACAGCTTATATGTGTTTACCATAACTGGTATTGTGTAATACCAATATAATATGGTTATTATTTTCGATACAAAATTACGAAAAAATAATGAAACTAAGGGTCCGATATATTTTCGCATGGAAGTGTCCGTTTTTGTGAGGCCACTGAAATATAATGGACGAACAGTTTTTTTATAATACGAATCACCCTTACCAACTTCCCACATCCATTTTAGATAATGCTCTTTCCGTTTCCAAATTCTAATAAATAAAAAGGCACCAAGAATTAAGAATATTGAAAACAATGGTACGAACATGTGATCTAAAATAAGATGAATTTTCGTTGAGAAACAATATTCCTTAACCGGTCTTGCTGGGCAGGTGACATTATTTGGACAAGATTGGCACATTTTTGCATTTGATTCACAAATACCTTTCTCTATAGGTTTTTCAAGTGATGACAAATTGAAATTGAACCCATATATAATATCGCAGACACCAGCAAGGGCAGCCAATTGCAAAGCTTTGTTAAAGAATTCATAAAAGGAAAAATAAAAGGCTACTCTCGGCCCGAGGTACTCATGTATGAGGTGAATTGGTTGCTGCCTGAAAATATTGAGGTTTCCAATCCAAAAATCATATAAAATCTTTTTCCCATTTACATCGATGACTCTTTTTTCCGATGTTAAATAGTTTTGTCCATCGTGAAGAGCAAATATGTCAGCAACGATATATTTATTTAAAAGGCGTTCAACGCCATAGTCATCCTCATGATTACTGAAGGGCAAATGTAATAAGATTTTATAAACAATTATACCTCGCTCATAGTTCGAATAACCACTAAGTAAGCCACTACGCATTAATTTCAAACATTGCTTTTCTTTGTTTCTTACGCTTTTTGCTATGTAGTCATATCTTGTGTCAGCAAAATTCCGTTTTGTCCCAAAATACACTCCATATTTATCTAAAACGTGTTGGGGTGCATGAATTTTAACAAATGTGAGATTTTTGTGTTTTTTTAATACACCGGGTTCTAGTTCCACTTCCAAACCCGCTCTAAGAATGTTGACGATAAAATCTAATTGTATTTTGTTAATATTTGCATTAACATCGTCCTTTAAGACCAATACAATATCTATTCGTCGTTCGCCATCTCTAAATACTCCAATAGGTCTCTTACGGGCTAGCTCTTCCTTGTCTTCCTCAACAATTTCTAAATCAGGAACAGATTTTTTTATATCTCCTTCAAAAAATGTGGATTTATTCTGGTCTCCAGAATCGCCACGAAGTACCTTAATATTGTGAATACTGACATCTTCGTCAGGCGGAAATTTCTTACTTGGAAGCTCTGGTTGGTAAACCTTATATTTCTCGCATCTTACGGAATCCATTTTTGTATTGACTCCGTACCGTTTTCTTTTCTTACAGAGCTAAATGTGCAAATGTAATATATTCTCAAAAATTACAAAATAATCAAAAACTGTCAAATAAAATCTTTATCGAAAGTGACAAATACAAAAGAGGAGAAAAAAGAAGGTAAAAGTGCAAACATATAAATTAAAAAGTACGGACAGTCATATGACAAAAACCAAAAAAGATCACAGAATCTATACCTAAAAGATAAAAAAAAAGTTACTTAACCAAACTTAATTTTCTGGGTAATTTGAAGAATATATTTAAATACAAAAGTTAGTATTGTAACATGGTAAATGTGTATGAAATTGTAAGATTTTTTTTTTTGACTGAACGTGATATTTATCATACTCGTATTATACTGCTTTATTGTAATCTCCTTAGCAATACGCGTATCAGGAAGGGGTCGGTAATAACACGCCAACCTTAATAATTCTGACGTCGGCAAACATTTTAATTACTTAATTTTATTTATTTATTTAATTACAGTTGGACAGTCTGTTCTTAACGTACACAATGTTACATCCTGAGATTTGTCCGCCAATATCTTAAGTCAAAAATATTATTTACAATATTCACAGTTGTGGCCTCAAATAAATAATCTGACTTTACAATGCAGGACATATATGAACATGATACTTGAAGGGAAATAAAATCCGAGACACTATATTCTAGATAAAACGTATATAATAATCCCATCTCTAATATGTTTTGATTATACAAATTCAAAAACTAATCTAAGCATAGAATGATTCTTCATTAAGTTACCGAAACGTGTTAACTGACGAAACTGGATTATTATTTTTATTTTATTTTTTATAATGCGGTCATTACAATATTAATGCTAAAAATGTTCATAACTGGATAAATTCAAAGTCAAAACTAAACGTTATGGTCTTAACGAACAATGCCTTAAATTTAGAACAAACATGCAATGGAAAAATATAAAAATATAAAGTAAGAATTTAATATACATTTAATGTCACCAATTAAAAATATACTAAAGTTTTATTTATTTATCAATTATCTCGTGAACAACAAGTAACCTACTATTTAGTCGATTTCGTATAAGTACCGTCTCTTCCTACATTAACCCAAAAACAATAATCCTACTCTTATATAGACTTAGCCTCTTCTTGATATATTTAATACATACAGGCATAGATGAAATAAAATATCAAAAATATATAACATGAGAAGTCAGATGAGAGTTTACTTTAAAAATTTCTGTCTAATAAACACTTTAAAAATCAAATTGTGCGGAACACTCTGATAATGTAACATCCCACGAGTTTAGAATTTTCTATTTCTATATACTTAAATGACCCGAATGTATTCTGTAACTCTATTTTTTTCTCAGCTGTCGTCTCTACTCGAAAGCTACGTATAATTTCAGAATTTATAAGATTTTCGGAAACACTACGCTTGTTTGTATTTTCATGTGAAAATTTAACCGCCATTTCGTTAACAGCAAACGTGGTCACAGGCAGACGAGATGAAAGTGTCTGTCAGTTAGTCTTGTTATTTGTCATCTAACGATTAAGTCCAATTTGACAAACCACAGATCCGTACGTCGGAGACAGCTACATACAATTGCAATCAAATGATCACGGTTTCTGTAAAGTAACTGCAATGTCGTTTAAAATGGTATAGTATATCTCAAAATGATACTTTCATTTCATAATAGTTATTACAGTTCTGACAAATGGAAGAAGGATTTTATAAATTAGTTGAAATTTTAAAATATATTTTCAACACATAATTTTCCCATCCAATGGAGCAGGGACGTTACCTATATTTGGAAAATTGTATTTCTACTGAGTAATATGTACATTTAAACTTGATCTTAAGTAGAAATGCATTAAGGTTCACATTTGAAAGTGACTTCTACTCCGCTCACTCGCGAAGATAAAATTTTAATATAAATTCAACATCTTTCTCGATTTCTTTACACATACTATTCGTTTAACAGTCAGAGTTTTTAAAGAAACAAACTTAGAAGCATTATTTAATTATTAGAACTCGTTATCAATTAAAATCTCTTGATGACCGAGTTTTAACTTATATTTTTATAAATAAATATACACAGTTTAGTCACAAAGATGTTTTATGTAAGCAAAAAACGATAGCAGTTCTTAGAAACGTGACTTTGTGTAAAACATCGCAACAATTTTATTTGTATTTCAACGAAAGATTAATATATAACATGTATAAATATAAACCTTTCCTGTTATGCAAACAATATATTCGACCTGCAATAAGTTCTTCTTCTCCTTCTTCTTCCTGGCAATTTCCCAGCTTTAGCCAGGGTCTGCGGACCTGCAATAAGTTATGGCCAGTAAAATACGAGTGGCGATCTATAACACGTATGTACTTATATATGTCACATTAAAAATCAAATTTTTATTACATCTTCATGTATATAATTATTCATTTTATGCTTAAGAAAATATAAATACATACATATGCTAAAAATTATAATCACTACACTGGAATCGTGGAATATTTTGACAATGTCAAAGTTTTATTTGTAGGGCGATTTATAATCATGAGAGCAATGTGTAGAAAACACGAATAAATAATATTCAATTATCCACTCATCGAATATATAAACAGAAATGACTCTAAAATAACATTATCAAATATTAATAAACCCCTGAAACCGATGTCAACAAAAAGTTTCATTGGATTTTAAATAAATACTCAATTGAAAAAGTTCTGAATACAAATCGGTTTATGGGACGAATATTTTTTTACTAAATAACTATTTGAATATAAATATACAGCTGTTTATTGCAGGCAATAGCATTTTATCAAACATTTTCAAAACCTACCAGCATTTTAACAAATGATAAAGGAAAGAAAAAAAAAGTACAGAAGAAAACTCGATTGACAATATAAACAGCAATTTTTTTAATAAAAACTTTTTGGAAGCGATGACATTTCAAGATATTGAATATTTTCAAAGACCCGGCACCCGCACGTGAATCCATAGAATGTTGAGAAGTTTCGTCTCTAGTGTATACTCCTGATTTAAAAGTTTGCGTTAAATGATGACAATACACATATGTATTAGATAGAGACCAAATATTTAAGATAAATAATATTGATAATATAATAAGTCTACCCTGTAGTTTGGTTGAAATGTGATCTCATCTACATTCCTGTCGTTTATTTACGTTGGATACACATACCATGTCATAAGTCAGTGGTGGCGTAGTGGGTAAAAGGCCCGCCTCTCATGCACAAGGGCGGGGGTTCGATCCTGGCAAGTTTCAATGTGATTTTTCCGAGTGATATATACTTTCTAAGAGTATTTAGACATCACTGATTAATGCTGAGTCCCGAAGAGGGTTGACGTCAGGCAGTCGGCCGGTCGGAAAAACAATTAGCTAAAACTGTTCACAACATGTAAGGCAGACCCTGGCTAAATCTGGGAAATTGCCAGGTAGAAGAAGATACACACACCACGAATTATATAGGGTGCTTTTTACAGCCACCACGGGTTTCCAGGAAAACTACGAAACCTACTTATAACTTATACCTAAGACTACATGGTTGGCCCGATGTTAGGATAGCAATACCATTCGATAGCTTGTGTGGTATCAGGAATCTTCTGATTCACACGGCTTGATGTTCGTTCCGCTGAGTCAGCAGCGTCACGCGTTATATTATATTTTATCCAAACAACGATGTTTCCGGCGATGTTCATTTATTTTTTAATATGTTAACTCACGTTTATATATGTAACTAAAACAGTCAATGTTTATAATCACTGAATATATTTATAACACATTTTTACAATCTATTTTCACAGTTATTACGAAAACTACTAAGAAATATCTTTAAGAAAAGTGGTACATACTTCTTCAATTGAATTATAGCATTTATTTAAAAATTTATATACAACTTCGTCTGCGTTAATATCAGAATTAGAAATGTGTAGCATAAAAAAAGCGAAATTTTGGATTGAATCAACTTATTTTGTTTTTCTTTTTCAGTCGAATGAAAAGTATCCTGTGCCCTTTCTTTTGTTCTAAGCTATCTCTTAGGGTGGAGCAAAAAATTTTTTTTCACATTTCGTAATTCTAAGTAGCAAAAGTTTATGCTTTATACGCTCAAACATGCACCAGTAAAATATTATTTTAAAAAGAAAAGTATAAGTACCTCCGAAAGGTCATTAAACTTTTATAAAAAGTGGATTTTAGACAGGAGTTGATGAAATTATATTTACATTACATCTTGATATATTTTATCTCTTAATTATCTTAATATATTGCTAATATACTCTTTTATGATAATAAAATGTAAAAACAACGTATAATAGTAACAACACTGAAAGGGAGCGGTGCCAATCAGTTAATTACTACGCGGGTAGACTAAGGCAGTACTTATCTTAACAACATAACCTAAAAATATTATTTGTTAATATACATGGAAAAAACACGCAGAGCTTCTAAATGCCCAATATTTGGTGAATGCTGTGAGTTAAAGAAAAACGTGTTACCAACTTACGAAGATGTTGTCAAACATTACGAATGGACGCGGCACATTATGAAGACAAGCAACAAAGAGCCCAGATTTTCAGAAATTGCTGATAAAATCGTACCAGAAATCGAAAGTATATGGCAAGCGGCATCTTTGCTAATAGTTACCAGTACCAGGATTGTTCAGATGTTAAAAGCGTATCACGAGAAACGAAAAAATCTTTTGAAGTCGATAGCAAAAAATGCTCAGCAAACGATGGAAAGTTTTATACAAAATAAAAAGTTACTTTTTGATATATCGGCTTGCAAATGCAAGGATTTTAACTATTGCAACTGTCCTAGAGTAAAAAAGGTCCCAAAACGGGAACAAGCCTTTTTATTTGATCAAAGGACGGCTCGTAAAATGGTAATTGGCGGAGTTGATGTTGTCACTACCAAAAAAAATCTAATAAATCAGGAACAGAAGTTCAAACGAAAACTTTGCTCCAATA